TCATCCACCACGCCATCTTGTTCTCGCGCCTGCGTCTGCTTGAACCTTAACATCGCGGGACTAAAAGGCACATCAAAACCATCTACACGTTCCCTCGGTAACAATCTTTTTTAAATTCCCATGAAATACAGCTGTTAAGGCGGCATATCTCGCTGGCTCAGCCCGACTAAAAATTCCTTTGCAAGACCCTCATACATACGAGACAGATTACCTTTTCCCGAACCTTACAAGGCAATCTTCAAATATTCCATTAATCTTTAAAACTAACTCACAATCGATCTGCATTAATCCCAAACTCCTCCACTGCTCACTAGAATTGCGAATCCAGTAGCGGACATAACTTCAGGCATCTTTCCTTGAGCCAACGTTGCCCTAGTGTCATCAGTTGCGTGATCATTCCCAAATTAGCGATGCATCATCTTTTTCAACACCTTCGCCAAATAAATTCGAACTTGTCTCTACTCCAATCTACAATAATTATTCACTTGCTTGCGCGATCAATTCAGTAAATAGTAGTAGTTCAGAAATCCTGTAGTTGGAGATCCATTATTAATCTAAAAACTACAATCCTCCTACAGCCAACGCACAGCAGACAACAGACACCAAACAAACAAAATAGTCTTTCAATTGCCAAACCAGAGGCGAAAAGGTCAACCCTGGAAAACGCCAAAATTGACAAAACTGAGTTTACGCCCCTAACCCAAAATGTCCGCCGGATCCGGAAAAAACCAACACCACCTGAGGATGACTGCTTGGACACGGAAAAACCGAAGCCCATCAACACAATTCGTCATCGCCGGCAAACAGCTGGACCGCCGCCCGCCCACGCGCCGGCGCCCGTGGTACCTGTAAGCAAAATTCTTGTATCGGCGCGTGACGGCGCCACGCCGGCTCAGGAATCCGGATGACCGATCCTGGGCGAAAACGACCGATCATCCGGCAGCGGAGCAACTCCTGCGACAAGTGCGGCGGTGAGACAAAAACAGTGCGCACCTTATAAGAACAGGTCACCAACACTGACAGCCACCACCTGCAGGAAAACTCCGGTGACCGGAATTTTGAGCCCCCCGGCTCGCGCCGGAACGCTTGCGATTCTTCTTACTTTGCAAACCGGCAAAAAATTCAAGCTTTAAACGCAGCCACAGGCTCTGATACCATGTATACTTTAATGTGGGCCAAAATAATTTATTCATATCATGATTCATCCAATAGCGGGGACACATATATATACCACAATACAACATTACTACTAAACCTATTTAGAAATCGTCAACATCCTTTAACCTAGAGCAGTTCTCTATTTACAACTCCTAAACTAGGAGTTCTATTTACCAAACTAATCCTTAACCAACAACCAATTAGCCTGTCTTACCTGCCGCGGAGAGGCACAAGATCCAAGCTTACCATTAGTAGTATCTAAAGCAGGCCATCTCCTCTTTCATTGCTCACTCCAACCAGCGATGGGACAAAGCTTGGGACCAACAGTCTTTAGGGGGGTAGAGACAGACGTCTATGATCCCTTACAAATCGACCGAGATGACAGAAGAAAGACGATTATAACTAACAAAAGACGAAAGAGGATAGGTACACTTGTATTTACGTTTTTGAAGAGCAATGGGTAGGTCAAGGTCTGACTGAGGAGTGGATGGCACAGGCTCAGGTTGAGTGGAGGGAACTGGATCTTCTCTTGAAGCGGCAGGTGGGGGAAGCGAGTCTAGAGTTCCTGGTCTCCTGGAATCAAACTGTTCAAAACGGGGGCAGGCAGATGCTGATGCAGGAGGGGGGAATAGGAGCAGTAGACGTCGTAGCAGGAATAGTTGCAAGTTCAGAAATAGAAGCTGACGCGGAACCCAAAAGGAAATGAATTCCTAGAACCCCTAATCGAGTGGATCGGATCAAAGATTAAGATGAATCCCCCTCTATGGCACCCCATGTTTATAAAGAAACGGAAACACCAATAATCTGAATCCCCCTCTTATGCCGCCACCCCATGTTTTATAAAGGAAACGAACAAACACACCAATAAATCGACAGTAAAGAACCAAGATAACGCCCACAATGAGTTGTTTAAGTTTACCTCTAATTCTTGATGCCAATTACGAGTATACCGCAAAATTACTCACAACTCACTCTACAAATTAAGACAGAACATGCCAAGCAGTATGACAAACATGCAAGAGCATGAACAATCTGTCTTTGATTCCAAAATGCCAAAAATTCTGTTTTACATCTTAAGGAGGCTATTTATATGCCTCAAACAAACCTAACTCTAAAGAAGAATATCTAACTGGGCTGCCCTAAGGCCAAAACACATGGGCCTAACTAGTACACACAAAATATAATCATTTCCAGCCCAAAATAGACAACTTAATGTTGGGAAAATCGCTATTTTCCCGAACTTCGGACCGGCTTCAAGCAGGAACAAATGAGAAAATAAAATAATGAATGAGAAATTAAAGAGAATAAATAACACGATAATTTAACATGGAAAACTCCCCAAGTGGAGAACTTAGGGGTGGTCGCTCACTAACAAGCGAACAGTTCCAACATTGTTATAGAAGTCCTAAGGTGTGGCCTTCAAGTTCCCCACAACACTTTTGTTAAATGCCACATCATGAAGCTCTTGTGTAATTTGATCAACATATAAGGACATGGTTGCCCCCATATCGCTTGGCATGGCTCCGTGTAATTGTCCCACTAGGAAGCACCAATGGATCCGTATCAGAAGCAGGAGCAAGAGAGCTAGGAAATTGCTGGATAGCGTAGACTAAAAACTCATCATCCTTCCCCTTACTCTTGTATATAGGAGAAGGAAAAAATGGAGTAGTCTGAAAAAATGTGACATCTACAGAAATAAGATGAACGGTCAAGATCGGGAGAAATACAATGATACCCCTTTTGATGTCGAGAATACCCAAGGAAAACACAATGAAGGGGCTTTGGATCTAATTTGGAAACTTGTGGACGAACATCACGAACAAAACAAATAGAACCAAAAATATGAGGTTCAATTGGGAATAGAAGTTTAAAAGGAAACAAGACACTATAAGGAATTGCACCATTAAGCACAGAAGAAGGCATGCGATTAATAAAAAAACATGCAGTAGAGACACCATCCGCCCAAAAATGTTTAGGGATCTTCATTTGGAATAGAAGTAACGTCACTGCCTGAAAGAACCTGTGATTTGGCAGTGTCAAGACCTGCAAAAAAACTCATTACAGCCATTTGTTCTCGCCGAGTCTGTTGAACCTTGACATCAGGGTTAAAAGGCAATAAGACATTAAGTTCCTCGTAAATTTTCTTAAATTCCATGAAATAAGCTGTAAGGGACTTATCTTGCTGGTCGGCCTGATAAAATCCTTTGTAGACCTCATACATACGAGACAGATTACCTTTTCCCGAATACAAGAATTCAAGATATGCCATTAATTTTATAACAAACTCACAATGATTAATTAACCCAACCACTTCATTGTTAATAGAATTTCGAATCAGTAGAAATAACTTAGCATCTTCCCTTAGCCAACTTTGTCTATTGTCACTAGTTGGTGGATCATCAATTCTTTTTCAACACTCCTCAAATAAATTCTAATTGTCTTACTCCAATCTAAATAATTAGTTTCTTTCAATTTATGTTCTGTGATTTTATTCATTGCTTGTGATTTTATTCATTGCTGGGATCAATTCAGTAATAATAGCTTTAGAATCTATAAGTCCAGTATCCATTAATAAAACTAAACACCCCAACAGTAACCAAATAATAGCATGAACCCAAAAGAACAATAGCAACACCAAAAGGAACCGAAAGCCGCAAACAGCAATAGCAAAAAAACAAAGAAAGCGCCTACCAGATGCTGTCGGAGCTGAAAACTAACCACTGGAAAATAATCCGGACGTTGAGTCGATCCTGGAGGACGAAATCCGGTCATGGGAAACTGTTGGACGTGCCTCCACTTGCCGGCGCTTGAGATGACGTCAGATTTTTCTGACGGCGTGTGAGGCACACTCGCTAGTCTTCAGGCCACTTGATTTGGTGGAGATGCCGATCGGAGGTCACACTTCCTCCCTTGGGTGGCGGTGAGACAAAAGCAAAAGCCTAGGTGGGAGACCTAGACTGACAGTCACGAAACAGAGTTGTCACCGTAAACGTCAACGCAGAAACCGGAAAAAAATGCTAACGAGCCAAAGGCTCTGATACCATGTAATCAAAAGGCTCTGATACCATGTAATTTTCAGTGTGAGAAAATATTCTCTATTATCTTTTATCATCAATAGGGGGACACATATAATATACTATACAGGGGTACTTATAAAACTTCTTAGGAATCTAACTCTATTAGAACTCTATTTACAATTTAATCCCTTAATAGTTTTGAAATAGTGGAACCTAGACTGACAGTCACGAAACAGAGTTGTCACCGTAAACGTCAACGCAGAAACCGGAAAAAAATGCTAACGAGCCAAAGGCTCTGATACCATGTAATTTTAGTGTGAAGAAAATATTCTCTATATCTTTTTTTCATCAATAGGGACACATATATATACATATACAGGGTACTATAAACTTCTTAGGAATCTAACTCCTATTAGAACTCTATTTACAATTAATCCTTAATAGTTTGAATAGTGGAAACAACTTTTTCATAGAAAAGTAAGACGAAGTTTTGTATGGTAGATGATGAGCCTTGAGCACCGGGATTCTCCTTTTATCTATTGGCATGAAGAAAGTTTTTTAAACACCTTCAAATTTCATATGGGCGCTTGAAAATTTTGGTGTTTTAGGAAAGTCTAAGAACTTCAGATGTTTGTTCATTCTATTGTATTTTGACCTATCTTTTTGAGCCTTGATATTGTTGATTCAATTATTAAGTACATTTGCTCCATTTATTTTCTATAGCAGTTCACTACTAATTCAAGCTATATAAAAAAACACAACTTCTAGTTAGTTTCACCTGTTGAGATTTGTTTTTAACTTGTTTGAATTGAAATAATTTGGCAGCTCTTCCAGTTGTTGCTAATGTTCAAGTGAAGGAGTTGTCTTCCAGTGTTTATTCTGGAGAAGGAAAATATTTTGGTGGCTATGAGGGATCAAGCCTTTTCAGTTGGTACAGAGAAACTAGTGATGGGACCATTATTCTCATTAATGGGGCTAGCTCTAGAACTTATGAAGTTACAGAAGAAGATTACAATTGCCGCTTGTTGTTTGGGTAGCTTTCTCACTCTCAAGACCATGTTAAAAAATTTTAGTTAGTTTTTTATGGAAGTGCCAAAGTTTTTGTGTCTTCCTGATCTTTGATGTAAACTTGTTTGCCCTTTTATCTTTTATTTTTTGTTATAAAGCTTGAGTAATATACTTATTCAGATGTACATGTTTAAATGTGTCTCATAGGTACACACCAGTTCGTTCAGATTCAGTTGTAGGTGATCTCAAATTGTCTGATCCTACTGGCATTATTCTCCCAGGTAATTAATTGCTTTTGGATATATTATGGTGTGATAGTGCTATTGCCTTAAATACAATATGCACATTGGTTCCTTAGGTTTTTGACCACACTTCTAAACTGGCTAAGCTTATTGTGTGGGATGCATAATGTAGTCAACTTGTTTTCAAATCAAACTATTGACTTAATTGTTTATGTGAAGGGAAAATTAAATTTGAAAAGTATCTTTGAAGGTGAACTGCAAATTGTACTAAACTAAAAGCTTTTGCATGAGCTCAACTCTTCTGAACATAATAAGTTTGAACATGTTCGCTGAACTAAAGCCAACCTTTTACATTCTCATTGCATGGAGGGACTTGAGCAGAAGATCAAAATATTCTTGGTTTCTTTGTTCAATATTTACTAGCCAATTTGTTGTTAAACCAATAGAAGTAGTTGTCCTGCTAACGCTTTTGTGTGCTTTGGTTTCCATTTGTTTAATTCTTTTGGCTAGCATGTCTATTATCAGCTTCCAGTTGATCCAAAGATGGGTCTAGATGTATGGGAGTTTTATGAAGAAGGAATGGAAGCTTAATGCGGGTGAAGGGAAGTTATGGATGGAGTGTAAATGGAAGTTAATTAACCTCAACTGTTTGGGAGTCTTAAATGGAATAAAAGCTAAATGCATGTGAATTAATTAAAATTTTTAATTTTACATACCACCCTTTAAAACCCTAATATGGAGGTTCAGAAAAATGGGCTTTTGAAAGTTAATGGATCTAAACTTTTAACTTCCACTAGCTCTCATTTACATTGTAGAAAAAATCACAAACAAGGTTAGTAGGTTAACATCTCTTTACCTTCCACCTTTAACTCCTCTATAAATTCCCATGCAATACATGCAAAGCCTTTCTAGAGTATCACATGTATTTTGAGTTTGTGTTTTTCTGTCAAAATAATGATCTCCTATCAGCAAGATGCTTTCCAAAGCACGAGTTTTAGTGCTCTTCTGTAAGCAAGTGCAAGTAAGTTTTGCATGGCTATGACCGTTTTCTTTTTTGAGGTTTCTTCCCCTTTTCTCTTTGCTTTCTTCACATTTTTTATAGCTGGTCACTTGGACTGAATTGCTTATGCTTTGAAATAAGTAGTTCTCTGTAAGAGTGGCATAAGTGGTCTTACCTATTGATGATAAATTCTTTACCAAAAAGTATTTCAGTGAGCATGACTTTTCGTGCTCCTCTGTCTGAAAAATCTATTATATCATTCTAATTTCTATCTCAATATCCATTAATAAACAGGAGAATGGTTTTTATCATATTCTTCATTTATGATTGTTCTCTTCGCTTTACATTATCAGGATGCATTAGAGGCTGACATGGCATGAAAATTACTAAAAGCATATAAATGTTACTCTAACTTGTTATAATGAAGCTTCATATAAATATTGCATTTAATTTATGACATGCAAGAAATGTTAAGGGGTGTTATTGATATTGAACTTGATATTGCCTTCTTTGCTGCAGAGATTCCAAAAATAGAAATGCTTGCTCTCACTGGAAAGGCGGTAGAACGAGATGTGCTCACTGCTGTTGAAGTAATACCCAAGAGTGTTGCTCAACAATCTGTTTGGAGCAAGTATAAGAGGGATGTCAAATATCAATGGTAAAAATGCTTATTCTGTTATTCTGCTGCATGGTGCAAGTTAGATGCTCCGGTGATGACAGTTAATTGATTCTTTTAAATTAAGAAGGCAACTCTCCTTATTTATTTTTGGGGAATTTTATGAATATCATTTTAATGATTCGTAAGATGCAATGCATAACCACACATGGCTGGTTCCTTTGAAACCATGACATTATATGAGAAAGTCAGAAATCTATCATGTTATTCTATTATGTCTCTTAGAAGTTCTTGCACAAGTTTTTTAGCAATTGCCATCTTAGTGCCCTCTTATATCTCGCTCAATGATGCTGCAGGTTTTGTACATCAGTAATAGGGAACAAAGATTCCTTTGAGCCCTTACCTTCACAGCGTTCCTGCTCTTACAAGGTGCGACTAGAGGACATTGGTAGATGCTTGAGATGTGAATGCATTGTGACTGATGTGTTTGGAAGGTCAAGTGAGCCAGCATATGCTGAGACTACTGCTGTAGTGCCAGGTCTTTCATTATGCACTTTCAACCACTTGATATGAAAACCATCCTTTTCTCAATTAATTGACACAGTATCTCTTGTTTGCTACTGATTGATTTGGAATTTGACCTTATTGTTCAATGAGCTGAAATTGGATGTTTTAACACTCAGTTATTTCAGTTGGAAAATGTTCTATATTTCAATTGTCAAAATCCATATGCCTTCCTGCATTGCTCATAATGTAACTTTTTGAGATTTGTCCAACCATTCAATGTTCATTTCCAGATTTACTATAATTCTCTTGTATAGTTTATGAAAACATATGTGTTATGCTCCTGTAATACAGTGTTATCATTTCTTTAAATGCTATATTAATAATATTTTACATCTCTGTTTTTCTACTACATATAAAAGCATATACCTCTATGATTGTCTATGCCATTGGAAAAATTTACTAGGAAGTGCCTTTTTCACATCCAGTTTGATTGTCTTCCTTGTTGCCTGGTAATCTTTGCTCTCTTTGGGAGGGTTATACTGTTGGAAGTCGTTGGACATTTATTCTTCTTGTTGACTTTTCTGCTGCTACAGGCTGCAGCTATGTTTGTGTTCCTAATACCACACTTTTATTATTACATCATTTGTTCTTGTATTGGGAATCATGTGCCTCTAATATGTCGATTCTGTATTTTATTAATTAGGGATTCCTAGAATGGATAAACTGGAGATTGAGGGGCGGGGTTTTCACACCAACTTGTATGCTGTTCGAGGCATTTATAGCGGAGGAAGGGAGGGTAAAAGTAGAATACAGTGGCTTAGATCAATGGTTGGTAGTCCTGATCTAATCTCCATACCAGGTATGTTAAAACATTTGGGTTGTTCTTTTACATGCCAGAAATGTATTTCTCCTAAAACCCCGCAGCTACCTTGCTAAAGAAATGCTTGCTTAGATAGTGTTGTTTTTTGCTTACGTTTTGTTCTTTTGTTTTCATTTATGTTTAAACTTCATATTTTGAATAATATGGAAAATGATTGCAGTATAACTAGTGATAGTTATGATTGATTGCCTTATAAAGTGATTTCTTTTGAACTATTAATTACTGGGCTTAGAATTTCTTCTGAGTTAACATTGAAAAGGATGCAAGTGTGCAAATGTATTTTCGGAAGAATGTTAGAACTTGGAATTTTGACGATATTATAAATCAGATTTGGCAAATTTCGGATTGCAAGTCTCTATGTGAATTTCATACTTGTCAAAACTTTTAAAATTCTACTTTCTCATAGTTCAGCAATTAATACAGTGATGGGACGTAAGCTTTTGCCTTTTGGTTGTAGTGGAATTTTGAATGTTAATCTGCTGCTGAGTTTCTTATCTATTATCAGATTCTCCAATCTCTTTAGTCAACAAGACTTACATCTTCACCCATCTCGCCAATGTGAGATTGGTTCATAACATAATATTAGATGGTGTTTTTTCAGGACTTTCTCCTTTTGTCATTTGGGGTTTATCTGTGTTTGTGTCTTTTGATATGTTATGGCTGGTAATTATTAGATGATTATGCTTTTCCTTCTTTTTGAAACTTTTGATTCGAAAAAGTTAGTTGGCATTGCAGGAGAAGTGGGAAGGATGTATGAAGCCAATGTTGATGATGTGGGGTACAGGTTGGTCGCTATCTACACTCCAATTAGAGAGGATGGTGTTGAGGGACAGCCTGTGTCCGCATCAACAGAGCCAATTGCTGTTGGTAAGCAGAATCCTTGTCCTACTCATTTGTTGCTCATCTTTTCTGTTGTTTAATTTCTATCTGTTAGGCAAATTATTTTTCATATAAAATAATTTTTGATGTTTCACACTTCCACTAGTGCAACTGAATGTCAACATTTATGCTTCAGTTGCATGATTAACTTGCCTGATTCTTGCACTCCTATGACCTCTAATGGATCTTAAATTACTACTCATCCGTGCAAACACTTGTGAACCAATATTTGCAGCTCAGAAGTTTTAGTGTCAAAACAAAAATTCAAAAGAAAAAGGGGTGGGTGGAGTCTTTTATGTGCCTTGGGTATTAGGTCTATTTTTTGAATCATTTAATGGCAGCTTAATGTGGGAAGATATTGCAATTTGGCTTCGTTGGCACTTATTTCTTCTGTTTGTATCTCTTTTGTGGTGTGAGGCAAGCTTAATCTTGGTCGTCTGAGCTTCAAGTTTAAGCCCGAAGTTGACCGTGGTTAATCTTGGGTCCACTTTGAATTAGTACTTTATCTTCAATTGCAGCACATAGAATGGTTGTCTATATATGCATGTCCAATTCAGATGACTTTCTCATGAATGGAATACAAGACAAAAGTAATACTTCAAACAGACCCAAGCTTGTAGTTATTTTTCTAAATTAAGACCAGACGAACTCAGCCTGACACCCTTCTCAAACAGTTTGGTTTGGCTATGGCTGGAATGGGCTTTGTCCATGCTGTAGCCTAAGCTTCAAGAATTCCTGTATTTCTGTATATATGGTACCTCATTCTGTCTATCAGGCTTTTAATCTTTTTGATTTGTAATTGCCTTTCATTTTCCTACTATATCAATCACCAGATCAAAACATATGAGCTGAACATAATTGAAAATCCTGCAAGGTTCTTTATTCTTATTGCTATAATGATGAACAAGATCTAAAGTGTGTCGAACAAGAAATGGAACTTGCATGCTGAAGCAATTCATGGCCAAAAAAGATTTCATGGAGTTACTTTATTTTTTTACGAGGACCAATTATGAAGTTATTTGCACCCCATGGCTTTATATCTACCCTAGTTTTTCTTCTTTAGTTTCCCTTTCGCATTTTTGCAGATGAGGATAAAGTTCCTTTGAATTATAAGAATCCTGTTTAAAACTCTGAATTCCATTTTTGTTTATTTTGGCACAACAACTTGCAGAGCCTGATGTTCTTAAAGAAGTGAAGCAAAAGCTTGAACTTGGATCTGTGAAGTTTGAGGTGTGTATACTTTATTTTGATTATTATGATGACATTATATATTTTAACCTTTTCTTTAATCCTTTTAATAATTCTTTAAGTTATGAAAACAGAGACATAACCATGTTCTGCTGGGACACCAAAACTGTGATTTTAATGACAATGTAGAGGCTCATCATTATTGTGTTTTCTGAATTCTTTTCTTGAGGTTATATACAAGTACATAACCTGGCACTATGCGCCGGTTAATTATCATAAATTGTACATTTTTAAATATGTATAATTTTAAAGTCGTGTCATAATATAATGAAATATAGTATTACGTAATATTATATATGATAATTCACATTTGTTAACTTCATACATAATAATTCAATTTGTAGGAAACACTATGAATACTGTACACGCAAAATTATAAGAAGTCACAATAATATTTAATTATTTATACAGCTTCATAATGCTATTTCTTCAAAATATTTTTCACTGCAAAATATTTTTTTAATCAAATACACTTACAAATTCATGTAAGTGTGTTTTTGCTTTAATTGGCACAGCTTGATTATAAATTTTTTTACAATACAATTTTATTGTTAACATATAATAATTTTAAAATATTTTGAAAAATAACAACAATTAAATGAATTATTAATGAAATTAATTTCATTATTAATTTATAATTTAAATAATCATTAAAGACGTTTATATTTTTAATTAATTGACATGTATAAATAAATATGTATACTTACAATATATACATATGCGCTACTACTGAAAATTTTGAATTTCATTGATGTCCACATTAAGTCAACGGTACATCAATTATATATATTACAAAAGTAATTATTCAATAATTTATCTTTATGCATTTAAAAATGCAATGAAAAACTCATATTAAGCTTTACTTATATAAATTAAAAAAATTTAATTGATAATTTTAACAAAATTTAAGCTATGGCATGAATATAACTAAAGAATAATAAAATAGTTTAAGTGGGAAAATAATGTTGGACAAAAATGTAATCAAAAAACAATATGAGGGTTAAGTGGGAAAAATATTATTGTGATAAGAATATAATTAAAGAATAATAAAAGAATTAAAAGGAAAAATATCTTTGGGTAGAGATATAATTAATAGCAAATAAAATGGTTAGATTGTAAAATGGCAACAACAGTCTTACACATGGCAACAATAGTATAGTTGTGACAGTACTTAATTAATAGATAAAAGGGCAGTGTGTAATTAACAGATAATAAAAGGGCAGAGTAGGAAAAGCACTGTTATGGCAACACTAACTTTTTCACGCCCTTTAGATATATATAATAATTTGTATATGATTTTTTTTTATCTTTATTTCACTTAGTGCAAACTAAGGCTTGGTAGTGGTATATTTAAGCTGTACTATGGATCATTTATGCGAGATCTTTTACGCTGAGGAAAACAAAAAAAGGAATATAAGAGAGGACAGTCTAGAGTTATGATGTTATACCGCTTAACTTAAGCTGTACTATAGAGGCAGCATCTGCTAAACTTTTGAACTTCATTTTTGGCAATTCCTTGAGCAAAAAAGAGTACATGGGGAAAGAGTCCTGAATGAGTCTCAGGAACTCGTTGCATGCTAGTGTTATGCAACGAGCGGAATTTGTGCTATTGGAAGCAAGTACATGCTAATGTGCTTCTTATTCTTTGCTCTGAAAGAAAGAGTTGAAGTGCATGCTAACATGCTTCTTGTTCTTTTCCTCATGAAAGTGTCACTCGCAGTGATGACAATATCATCAACATATACTACTAGCAAGATTAGACCAGACACAGAATATGTATAAAACACAGAATGATCACACTTTTCTGCATACCAAATTCTAGGACCACCTCACTGAATTTCCCCAAGCAAGCTCGAGGGCTCTGTTTCAAGCCATATAAGGATTTGTGAAGACTGCACAGTTTACTTGCAAAAGAAATTGTTTTTCCATCTTTTCCATGAAGAGTTAATACATCTGCTGCCTACTTGTAAGGAAGCTAGACATATTCTGCTCCAGGAATCAAGTGATCCTAATTCCTATAATGAAGAGATACATATTTCTGTTTTTTATACAAATATTGCAGTAATAGTTTCTAAAAATCAAGTTCTAGTATTAAGAATATTGGGATGGCCATAGGAAGTAAATCCCAAGCGACTGCCACTTGCTGGCTACTTCCTGCATGGGGATAGTCTGATAGAGTAGCACTTGTCTTCTCTTGCATGCAATTTCCATGTCTGCTTGTGCACAAAATATTACATGTTTTATCGATTTCTGTTCTTCTTTGCAATAATTTTCTTCTTCTATCACATGATATTATCGTTTTTTTCTTTTGACAAATATTATGTCTTTGCTAACAGGCATTATGTGACAAGGACCACTCTCTAAAAAAGGTTCACTTTCTTTCTCCACATTTGCCATTATATTTATTCAATTTCTAATATACTGAAAGCAAATGGAAATAGCAAATCATTGTCATTGTTAATGTGCAGGTTCCAGGAGAGGGGAGTCTTGAGAGAAGAGTTCTAGAAGTTAATAGGAAAAGAGTCAAGGTAGTGAAGCCGGGCTCTAAGACTTCTTTTCCTACCACTGAAATTCGCGGAAGTTATGCTCCTCCCTTTCATGTAAGTATCTGTCTGAACTTTGGACAGTTCTATTTTTTAACGGGGTGGCCAAGGTTCAGGGCTGGCACAGCCCTTATAAACCACAAGAACTGGTTGGAACCAGCCTGAACACAGCCCGAATTGCTTGCTTCTAGATTTGATTTTTAAGGGCCCTGGCCATTTTCAGACATCTGAACGAGACCATTCTTTGTCAGTTCAGTTACAGTTCAGGTCACAAATTGGAACTGCTTCTAGCTACCCCTATTTACTTTGTCTACTACAGGAGACTTTTCTTCCGGTTCACTAATTTTAGAGATCAAAGAATTATGCTATTTTATTTTGCTATCTTGCTTGATGGTATATATAGTGTTATCAGAATCTTATGATTTATGATTTGAATAGTACAATTTAAGTCGATTCTCATGCTGGACGATACAAATTTTGGGTGAATCGGAATTGAGCATGAATACAATTCGAGTCTATGCCCAACAACAATTCTCATACCCAACAAACAAGTGGAAGAATCGATGAACGGGAAGAAAAGCTAGATGATATGTTTATATTAGAAGAGAAAGATGATGAAGGGCTTGAATTTGGAAATGATAAATTAATAATGACAGAATATGGATTTGGATAGGAAATTTAATGGCTTGATAGTTTTAGTTTGTTCTTGTTTTAAAATTTTAACTTAATAATTTGATACTTTGGACTTGGAAATCATACAAGTCATTAGGTTTTCTTTCATTTTGTGTTTAGCATATAATTTGGAATTGAAATATATAGAAGTACATTACGTGCAATTGAATTTTTGGAATGTTTTGATAAAATTAATGGAAACATATCCATAGAATATTATTTATAATTATGTCAAAAAGTTATATTGAATCTTATGATTTCGATTCTTGATTCTAATAATATGAATTTCAATTCACGATTTGAATCTTGATTTGACAACTATGAGTATGTAGAAAACCTAATGATGAGACTCTGCCAGGTTGAGCTTTTCCGGAATGACCAACATCGGCTCCGGATAGTAGTGGACAGTGAGAATGAAGTAGACCTGATGGTACATTCCAGGCATATGCGGGACGTCGTTGTTCTTGTGATCCGAGGTCTTGCTCAACGATTCAACAGTACATCTCTCAATTCTCTCCTCAAAATTGATACATAGCTTTTGCTAAGTAATGTAGATTTGAGTTCATAGCAATGAAAATATATTCATTTGTAGGTTTCTTAGTTTCTATTAGTCATCACATCTCACATTCAGTTCCTGTTTTTTACTGTTGATTATTTTTTGGACTTCATTTTCTTGTTCTGTGTGAGATATGTTGGGCATTGCTGGAAAGGCTGGGGTGTCAGAAAAATATATATATATCTCTATGTATATTTGTATATCAATGAATTTATACCGAGTTACTTGAGCCTTCATGTACGTGTGTTTCATATTTTAGTGGTTTATATATTGTATAATCATATTTTATATATTGGAGCGGTGTTTTTCATATTTTATTAAGTCATTAAATTATCAAATGTTCATATTGTTAGCCATATTATCGGTACATTTATTATTAAAAAAATTACAAAAAAAATGCTTAATCAATTTATAATTTTAAATAATTTGTACTTTTCCCGTGGATGAAGAAAAGTCTCGTTGGGAGCACTTTCTCCGCAACGGCTTGACCGACGCTGTGTGAGCAGGATTACTTGGGGACACTTGTGGTCTAGCAAATCAAATCAAATTAACCCATCAATTTTTCAAGACCATGATTTTAGATTGGTTTGTACGGTTTTTGACGTTTTACCCCCTTAACCGTGGGATCAGCAAAGGTGGTTTTTTTTTGGATAAGTAAAATCTAGAATTAAAATTATGGGTTTTTAACCCATTTATGGCTCTTTCGTTTAGATTATCATTAAGCACGTGGAAGGATAGTCCAGATATAATAAAATTTTGCTGGTAAAGATATCCAAAGGAGGGGTTTTGGCAAGGATGTAAAATTTCATGGATTTTGTTCTCTTTTTTAACAAATTATGAAACTATGAAAAATATATGAAATACCTTGAGAAATAATTTTTATCCTCTGTAAAAGAATTTTCTTTCCATTGTTTAAACACGTATAGAAGTTATTTTTTCTGCTGTACAACTGAACTTTCCTTCACATTTTTGTCCACTTCTTTTTTTTTTTTCTATCTCCCCACCCCACAAAAAAATCATAAATCTGTTTTGGTAAGATTGTTAGCCTATGACAACATAAATATTTCTGGACTTAAATTCAGCAAAATTTAACATTTCTGTTTCTTCAGTGACATTCTGAAAGAGCAAAAGAGTTAAAAAAACAAAAAATGTTCTAATCCTAGCATATAAAACACTAAATAAAACCAGAAAACAACCTTTAACAGTAGTAATTTCATGAGGTAACTCCTGCTTCAATGTTGGTTATTGCATCAGCTTTTCCTCTAATCTCCTTTGCTGCATCATATGAAGCGTGAAGCGCGATGAAAAAATAATATAAGAGCAATATTCCTGTCCAAATTAGAAACCTGATAAATGATTTTCCATCAATAGATCCCAGTATAAACACATTCACAGCAATTGAAGCACTTGGCAACCAAGGCACTAATGGCACTCCCCAGACTTTCGGCTTCTTTGCTTGCTTCAACGTAAGTTGTAATCCTAAAGTCGAAAAAAACCAGATTGGTACTGTCACTGCATAACCAATCCACCCATGTGCAGCTGCCCAGTAAGCTGCAGAACCGATCGAAGATGCTAAAATCAGCAGCAAAAATCCCACCAGTTTCTTTCTGTCGAACTCTGATGTCTCACCACTAACATAGTACCGTCTCACTAGTAGCGCGAGTGCCACGAGGGAGAAAATGAATAGAGTTGCTATCGAAAGAAGATTAGACAGAACATCAAGGCTAGTAAAGAAAGCAACAATGGAGTTTGCAAATGTCATAATAATAGTTGCATTTACAGGCGTGCCGGTTTTTTCATTTACAACAGCAAGTATAGGAGGCGCCATATGTGTTCGACCAATGTGCGTGAAGTAACGAGCTTGACCGATGATATTAGATAATAGAACTGTTGTCATACCCTTTAATGCACCTATTGCAACAATGTACTTTGCCCAGTTCATCCCAACAGCTTGAAATGCTACCGAAAAAGGCGCATTGGCATCGATTTCAGTATAAGGCTGCATAAAGCTCAGTGTTGCTGCAAGAAGACAATAAACTAGTACAACAATAGACATAGAACCAATTAGTCCTATTGGAATATCTCTACCAGGATTTTTTATCTCCTCAGCTAAAGTAGCAACTCCATCAAACCCAACATAAGCAAAGAATAGCATTCCTGAAGCCTTAAGAATCCCTCGAATTCCGAAAGGTGCAAAATTTGCATAGTTTTTCGGGTTTGCTTTCATAAGACCGGCTACGAGGATAAAAGACAAGACTAGCAGATGAACCATTGTAGCAATTGAATTGAATCTTGATGATCCTTTGGTACTCAAACAAGCACCTATACAGATAATGATCGAAATGACAACAGAAATCGGATCCAAGTAATTATAGTTTTCTGCAAGAGATGTCACATGTATTCGAAAACTATTAGGATCATGATTGCAGAGAGTAGCAAAATAAGATGTCCAAGACCTTGCTACACCAGCACCAGAAACAATGTACTCAAACAATATGTTTCCTGCAGCTATATATGCTATAAAATCGCCTAGCTCCACCCTCAGATAGGCGAACGAGCCTCCTGCTACCGGTAATTCTGCAGCAAATTCACTATAACATAAGACTGATAGTAATGCAGATATACCTGATATTAAATATGATAGTATAACAGCAGGACCTGCATCATTTCTAGCAGCTTCTCCTGTTAGGACAAAAACACCTGCACCCATTACTGCTCCTATTCCAAACCAAATTATATCCCACCAATTTAGAGTCTTTTTCATTTCGTGATCACTACGCCCTCGCATTACATCTAACTCCAAACTATCCTTCGATCGCGACAAAATGCGATCCTTAAGCCTTTCTTTTGTACTAGACAATGCCTTAACATAGTTTCTCCAGTTCTTGAATGACTCTTCCGGCAAGAAATCATCTTTTCTACATCCACATCCTCTTTTCTTGAGACCATCACTATTGTGAACAATAATACTACTACTACTGCCTTCATCACTAGTCACCATTCTTGATCTGCAAAAAAAGAAAGAAATAAAAGAAAATTACATACTTTGTGTTTTTAGAATTTATTGCAATGCTTCACATTTTTTTTTTGTTTTCTGATATGAACATATTGGAAATGTGAATAACAGTGAAACAAATGTTTAAAGAAGATTGATTATAGATTTATGAGATTGAGGAATAAGCTAATTAATAAATTAATGAGTTAGAGCTCATCCAAACAAACCTTAAGGAAAGTGGGATTCTGAATGTGGAGATGTACTTTCTGTAGAAAGAATAGGTATAGTAATGAATTAAAAAGCGGATCTAATACTAAAAGCTTATTTTGTGGGATTCAAATTTACCATAGAGTCGATAATACAAACCTTGTGGCAATATGTTCCTGTCTTCTTCCTTTTTTTTTAAGGGCTGTGCAATCGGTCGGTGTGTTCGACAGCCAAATTGGCAATAATCGAAAATCGAATTATACTTTTTTTTTTTAACCAAATTAAAGTTATTAGGAGATTGAATCAAACCAAACAAATATGATTCATTTTGGTTTATTTAGACCTGACTCACAAATTTGCGAACAGTATCAAAATACAAAATCAATGACAGTTTATTATTAGAGGGTGAATTGGATTAGGAGTCTTAAACTTTCTATATAAAAATATAAAAACATATTTTTACTTTGATTTCTTCTAAAAAAACCCCCGAATTATATCAGTTTGGTTCGGTTTTTGGGTTAAAACCGATAAATGAGGACTGCTAATTATTATTATTATTATTATTATTAATGTTGGTTTAAAACCGATAAATGAGGACTGCTAAATTATTATTTATTATTATTATTAATTATTATTATTATTATTTATTATTATTATTATTATTAGGTTAATTATTAATTATCCGATTTATTTTATTAACAATTTATATAAAATGCTTTTAATATGAAAAATTTTTTAGAGTATTGCTTTAAAAGAAAAAAAAGAATTAGTTTTTGAAACTTGACAATGCGAGTTGAAATAAATATTAGTTTTGAAATCGTAATGCTTGTCTTAATTTTCAATTTTTTTTTGAAATAAAGATTAGTTTTATTCATAGTCCCCTGTCCTTCAATTATTCAATTTCAAAAAATTAAAGATCCAAATGAAATACAAATTCCATTATTATGTGGTCCTTTCAAAAAAAAAAAAAAAAATTATGTAAATAATAACATGCATATAAAAATTAATTGCCAATAAATATATTGTAAAATCTTTTCAAAAAAAATTGTATATTTTTAAAAAATGAATAATTACCATGAAATCTAAAGAAAATCGAAAGAGGGCCTTTAATTAATAATGAATCTTAAAGAAAGGAACAAATGAAATTAATAAAGTAAAAAAAAGATTTATAAATATATAAGGTGAATAGACTACTACTTATATATATATATATATCCCCTATTTTTCTATTTCAACACACAATTCCCTGCCAGACCGGCTGTGCGAACCGCTGCGCGGGTAGGTGCGAGTTGAGGAGGGTATTTCACCTGCTCTATATCAATTAGGGTTTTTGTGCAGTGAGGAAGATTGACATGTTCCTTTGGTAGCACCACACAAACAGGGTAAATATATATATATTATATATATTATAATTATATAATTTTGTTTGATTATATACTGTTAACTTGTTTAATGGAAAATTTATTTTTTAAGCATTAAAGGAGGAACAGTTGAACCTGAATCTATTTGCTAGATCGTATATGCCTTTGTTAATCGAAAAATTTATTTAAGAAAACGGTAGGAAAAGAAAGATTTGATTTCTTTTTTTAAAAAAATGGAATATATCGATATTTTCTCTTTAAAAGAAAAATAACATACGATGATTTTAGATTTCCTGCTCTTAAAATTTAAATTCTCTTTTTCAAGATTTTATATATATTTGGTTTGATTATATACTGTTACTGTTATGAAAATTTATTTTTTAAGCATTAAAGGAGGACAGTTGAACCTGAATCTATTGCCAGATCGTATATGCTTGTTATCAAAATTTATTTAAGAAACGTAGGAAGAAAGATTTGATTTCTTTTTTTAAAATGGAATACGATATTTTCTTTTAAAAGAAAAATAACATACGATGTTTTAGATTTCCTGCTCTTAAAATTTTAATTCTTTTTTCAGATTTTTGACTGCCAATAAATTTTTTTTGTTTATTATTATTAGGAAAAGAAACTTAACAAACTTGAGAATCTAATTCCGAAAATTCGCAGTACACCCCACCTAATTCAATTTCAGATTTATTGATATTCCTTTTGTTGATTTTTCTCTTCCTATTATTATGTAAAATTATGTATTATTATGGTCAATTCTTATATTATTAGTATTATTATTGAATTTCAATAAAATTTCTTAAATTATTATTATTATGGTTGGTGCTTTTGTAAGTGACTGTTCAACATTATGGAGATCGTAACCTCAATGGGCGGGCTGAGCATGTATATACTGATCCTTCGGTTTAGTTTTAAAAATGTAGTTTGGTTTTGGTTAGATTAGAAAAAAAAAAATAGAAATTCTGATTTGGTTCGGTTTTTTGATGAAAATAATTAAAAACCAATGAAACTAATCGAATCAATTTGTTATTTGGTTTGGTTCTTTATGTTATTTTGGATTTGTTTTTTTCAGTTGGCATGATTTTAATTTGTTGGGCTTGTTCCACCGGTATCTCCATTCTCCTACTTTGATCAAATTTCTGTAAACAGGGTTATTACCTTGTTAAATATTTTATTACGTGCCGTATCAACTTTGATTTATTGGACTTATACTGAGAGAATAACGGGCCATGCCCAAGTATCTCTCTTTGATCCACCACCATCACCAGAAACAGCTGCAACCTCCATCTCCACCACAACAAACCACTATCCCCGCCACTCAACTTATCAACAACTCCAAGAATACACCAAAACAAAGGGCCTCTTTCTTCCCCTTTTCCCTCTTTACAACCGCTCGCAGAACCACTACCTTCACCAGACCCCACAAGTCTCCAACTCCACCACTGATGTCTCCTTCACCTCTGGCGCCACCACCACCAGCTCCTCCACGGTATCAATTTCCCAACCCCGAGCACACCACCAGGTAATATGAGCAAACCCTCCGCCTGTTTTAGCTAATGTGTATCTCGAAGTTACATTAAGGGAATTGAAGTTATATGCCGCAACTTCTGATTTAATTACAAGAATCAGTAGGGAAGAATTCTTTAAATCCATAACATCACACATATAGGAATTGACACTTGAATTTCTGAGTTCTTTTGAACTGACAGTGAACCCACATGATCCTAATTATGATGAAGGCAAAATGACTTTTAAGTTATCTGGTTGAGATCGCTCTGTGAGTGTTAGGGAACTTGGTCAATTATTTTAAATTCCCTCTTGATGGTTATAGATCCTTCCCTCGGGCATTCCATGAAACTGCAGCTTGGAAGTTACTATCCGATGAAAATACTCGCTTCAAAGCTAGTGTCTCAAAAGCCACTCACCTCTCGACGTTCAACCTCAAATTACTTTCACAAACTACTCTCACCCTCCCTTATCATCATAGCCTGGGAAAGGTAGAAAGTCCGGGGGCAGTATCTAAGACCGAATTATTTTTTTCTTTCTTATAATGAGTAGAAGATTGAAACTTCTTCTAGGTTTAGAAGACTTGACCAACCTAAATTGATTGATTGGCTCTCCATTCTTTTATCTTTTCCATTGTAAGACTCTTCTTATGCTTCACAAAATTATAAGCAAAAAAACAAAAAAGAAATATTTACCCTCTGAAAGTAATTTCCAAGCACGTGACATGACTTTCCTAACTCCAAATATGTGCACAAAGATGAATGGAAGATGGTAAGCTCGAAAAAACATCGATGAATATCGGGGTTTTAAAGGACAAGCTGAGTATGTTGATGGGAGAATATATTCCTACTCAGTCAAATCTGTGCTTTCATTTGCTTTGGAAAAAGTTGAAGATGGTCCACACTTACACCCCCCAGTTAAGTTAGAAGGTTTAGAAATTGTATCTCCTCCTTCTTATTGGGCAGAGGCGCATTTTAAAGATTGCATGACCCATTTAGGGGGTGGTATGTTTTGTGCAACTGAAAGTGGTTATAGCAGACTAAGTGGCAAATATCAGTATGCTTGCATTACAACCTTTTCTATCTCTAAATTCTGCTAAAGTTCAGACTTTGCATTCTTCTGTTCGTATGGTGGATATTGATCATCGTGATGGTGCTGGTCTTTGTTGTTGCTTCAGATTGTAAGTCTTACCGTTTTGCTACTGTTGCTCTTCTTTTTTCTTTCTTATTGTCATTGTTCATCATTTTCAATTTTTTTTTTTTACTTGGGTTCTTTTAGTTTTCATTTTTAGTGCATATGTTTATGCTTAGGATGTACAAAAATGGAAGGGCTAAGATGAAGTTTAAACAACCGACACAGCTTACGTACATGTAATTCTCATTTTAGAACTTGATCGGCAATAACTTTTGAATTAGTTTTTAACATTTTGACTAACGCAATATTTATTGTTTCTAGTAATTTTAGCATTCTGTAGCATAGTTTTTATAATAGCTTTAGGAACTTTTTTTTATGAGACATTTAGCGTGCAAAAATTAATTTTTTTTTTTTTACAATCATACTCATTATTTTTTGTTTCCAAATTCAACTGATTACACAACTAACCACATTTCATTTTAAATTAAACAGTTGGTTAAACCATTATTTTTACCAACACTTCTAATTTAAACCTCTTTATAAACAATTACTACAACACCAAATAACTACTAAAACAACTAAAATTGCCTTATATGCATTAATGAAATTTTAAAACATAACAATATGTATGGCTGAATATATAAATTCACCTCTTAACTTTGCAACTTTAACTTTATGGCACCTTGAACTTGTAAATTTAGTTAATATTACACATCTCTCAATATTAATATCAATAATTTTTAAGTTTTTTGGCTTGTATCTGTAAAATATCGACATTGTTTGTAGTTAACATAACTTTTTGAATAATAATTTTTATAAATTTCAAGCTTTTGTTGAGTGTTCAATTGATCTAATTTTACAAGTTGAAATTTTCAATAAAATAAATTTGAAAATTAAAGTATTTAATAAATGTAATTTTATAAGTCGAAGTATTTAATAGGTCAAATTAAAAATTAAAAGTGCCAAAAAATTAAAGTAATAAAATTCAAGGGGAAATTTATATATTCGGTGAATATGTATGGACTTCTAGGTGAATGGCAGCTAATATGGTCGTTCATGTTGGATTTGCATTTTGTTGCCGCTTTCTGTTACAATTTTTTAGTCTGGATTACTCCATGTCTATTAATATAAAATTTTTGTTCTTTGTTTGAGAAAATA